GGGCATGTTTCATTTATTGACACATTTGATGTTAAATGTCTGCTCACTTAGTGTTGTAGCTCTTAATTTATTATGTTTTGAACGCTCTCTCTCCCTGTTTCTCCCTGGTTTGACCCTCCGAGGTCACACAAGCAATTCTTTTCTTAAACGCATGATTAATTTCTCAGTAGGGCGACCGGCTAATGCATTATGAAAAAAAGTGAAATGTATTCCAAAGGGGCTAATAGCGCTATTGTATTCCAATAAGCCTTTTTCCTGCTTCACATGGTTTAGACACGCTCCGCTTTTGATAACATGTCAGAAACATCTTTCTCAGACAGAAATCTGTGCACCATGGTCGTTCCAAAAATTATTTCATTATTGTCGTTTAAAAACAATTTAGGATTTTGCCAGTCAGGGTTTTATTACAGATGTCAGCCATAAAGGGCTCATTAAGTCATTACTATAACGGAAACTCCACATTGTTCGGCGAGAGAATATCCAAGCTTACAAGCTTAAAAAAAAAAAAAAGTAGACTAAAAACCCTTAAAAATCAATCTGGCACCATTAAGGCAGTATAAACTCAACACAGAAGTCGTCATCAGATATTTCAATGGGCTATTATTTTGTAAAAAAAAAAAAAAAAAAAAGGTTGGTTTTCCTCACAGAGATGTTTGGTAATCAACCCGCAAAGCTACTCTACCTGTGTCTGTAGATGGTAGCAAGCTATTATAAAGTCTTCTCATCTCTCTATTGTGACGTCATTCGTTGCATTAGCTGCGGCCCGTGCGTGGCTCGCGCCCGCGGCCCCATCTTGTCCCATAACCGCGAGGGTTCCGTTCGTTCGCAACACAAAAGCACGCGCGGTGACAGCTTAAAATGGTTTGAAAAGGAGCAGATGGGGCCGTTCTCTCCTGTCGCTTTACGCACGCACGTGAGCTTTACGCACACACACGCACAGATTTAAAACTGAGCCTGACAACCGTCATGTTTATCAAGAAAAGAACCACCTAGAGTCAATGTCAATGTTCTTTATCCAGCAGCCTTTTTTGCCAGATTGAGAATAAGGCCTATACAAACGCGTGCGTTCGCAACACCCTTAAACAAAAACCTTAAACAAAAACCACTGGATCAAGTGCCTTTTATTCCTCAGATTTTACTGTTTCAAGAAGTTTCAGTAGTTAGAACCACTTATCTAGCTGAGTTCTTCTTTGAATATCTACAACATTTACAAAAACGAGCGAGTGAAATGGAAACAGGAGTCTGTTATCTCAAACGTTCTACTTATAAATGTGTAAACACTATTTAGATGACAATATGATCACAATCCATATTGGAGTTTTGTGAAGAAATTATTTCGGTTCCGACATTGTGCTACTGAAATACCGTAAACTTAGTTTACAATATGCTTCTCGTTTTGGCCTCCTGGTTATCCTAATTCTTATTATTCTCCTAATCTGCGCTATGTCTCACTGACAGCAAGGACAATATGCAACATGCTAAATTGTTCTAACTTTCATGTGACATAGGAAATATTGTTAAAACGTTTTACTCCGTCATGAGAAGTGCGTTTTTCAACAGTCCTGAGTAATAAACTGTACGCGCAAACCAAATAGGCCTACACATACATGTATTTTGCATTTTAAAGAGATTCAAACTGAGCAACCACTCTGTTCCAAATTCCATCTTTAGTTTTTTTATCCCAACATGAAACAGGAGCCACAGAAGAGTTTGTCCTGAAAACAACTTTATTACGTTGTTTTAATTAACAGTATATTTACGACAGCACATAATCCCCATTCAGAGTAATTTTAGCTCCAGAGTACTTTTAATGAGATCCTTTCTTGCATCCTTCAGACATTTGCTGATGTCTGTGAGGCAGCTAAAATCTGGGTGGTAGACTATAGTTAGGTCTGTGTCTTCATATCTGTAATGTGTAGAAGAAACCTAAGCAGCAGGTGTAACATGCCAGGTTTAAGAGCCTGGAGCAGGGGCGTAGCTTGGAAATGCAGGGCACCCCCGAGCTAAGACCGATCTGGGCCCCTCAGTCTGTTAAATAAAACAATCCTACATAACAATTTTTGAAGGTCCTCTTCAGGTGAATATTGCTTTTTATAGCATTGTGTGCTAGCTGGGAGCTCTTCTGACCTGCAATTACAACAGATGATATAGGCTGCAGTGTGCTTCCTGCTGCCTTTTATCTCCAGGGAACAACCTGCACATGTAGGCATACCTATTTCCAAAAGCCTACTCAGTGTTGAATTCTGCATAATTATGTGAGTATCTGCTGCAGGCTACTGACAGATGTTACTCTGATCCCCAGCCTGGCTGCCTGTCTGACTGCTGCTTCAGCCTTTATGTCCACTTTCTTCAGCCCCTATGGTCAGGCTAATGTCTAACTCCACACTATGTCTGTGCCAAGCTCTTCTGCTGACTGTGTCCACTGCCAGCAGTCGCTTTTAATACCAGTTTGCTGGTAATTAATTTTCAACCCAGTAGTTGTGTAGCCTATCAAAAAGCTGTAGAATTGTGTGCAGTGTCAAAATAACTTAAAATGTATGTTCATACAATATAAGGTGACTAATATGGTGAGTAAAATAAGATCGAATTGTGTTCATCTTTATTTCTGGCTTGGGTCTGTCGTGTTGTCACTGAAGCATAAGAGGCCACTTAATAGTTTCATCCTTTGAGACTTTGGAGGGTCATGTCATGCACGCGCGATTGTGTGTTCATTTCAGTCTCGTGCGTCCTTCCGTCGTTGGTGCCATTAGTTTGGCTTGTTCAGCGTTCGAGTGCCAGTTAGACAGACATCACTTCGGCTGTTCGGTTGAAAGGGGGAGCAGAGCGCAGGGAGAGGGAATGAAGCGTGTGTATAAAGGCGCGAGCGTTTTGTGGCGCGCGCGCGTGCGTCCTGGGTGGTGGGCTGAGCTCGCGCTATACGCCAATCAAATTCAAGGCAGGTGTGCTGTAGAGAGAGAGAGAGAGAGAGGGAGAGGGAGACGGATTAGGACTGCCCGTGGTGTCTCTGAAAAGCCGGCGCGACCGTGGCAGTTACTCACATCTCGCCAACCGGTTTACTCGACAGTTGGAGAAAATAGTCAGTACCGAGTCCATGTGTACCACGGATAGCGCGTAATTCAGTGAAATCCGTTCATTTACATGTTAAAATGAGTTTCTTAGAGCTGAGTAGGATACATTTCTCTCTTCACGCGGATATTTGTTGACGCGCTTTGTGATTATTCTTGGGAGTCAGAGGTAAGCACTGTAGTCGACTATTTCAGCGGTAAAGTTGGATAAAATGTTTGTAAAATAAAATGAAAATTGTCTGTTAACAACAGCAATGGGACAGAAAGTAGGTCGTAGAAGAAAACACAACAGCTATAGGCTGCAGCTTCACATTCCGTTGCATTTGCACGAATAAGGGCAATGGCATTATCATTATTATTATCATTATTACTATTATCATTATTATTATTATTGCATCTTTCTTGCTAAAATACTTTTGTTAACATTGCTTTATGGTTCCAAGTTCATTACCATACATGACTAACTGGCAAGTCCGCTGCTTTATTCAAGGTCCATCTATACCGTTATTTTGCAAGAAATTAAACGAGCTGAACTTAAAAGATACAATTTTAAATTGTTCAACATATTTGAAGCCAAACTATGAACTACAGATTTGGAAACATAACTAGGCCTACGTGTTTTTGTTTTCGCTCCTTCTTAGTTTATTGTTCAGCCCAAACAATTACACATCATATTAGTCCAATATTTTTTTCAAAGTTGAGTCAAACGTCACCTTTTCATTTTACACTTTTGTCTAGGTTTGTTTTTATTGTTATTATCTATAGGCTGGTAATGCTTTCTGTGTTGTTAAATGTTAAAATTAATGACAACTAAGAAATCCTTTTTTTAATACAAACATTTCCTAAAACTGTTGTGGAAAACTGATTTTTGTGTGTGTGTGTGTGAGATTTCGTTTTTAAAACACAACCTACCACGTGATGCACAAAAAAAATTGTTCTGTAGGTAAAACCAAAACTTTAAAAATATATATTTGAGTAAGGGTTAAGACTGCAAAATGTGCCATCTTTATCAAATACTAAAGCTAATGTCACAGTAATATAACTTATTTCCTATTAATCAGACGTTTAAAGTTTTAAAATGTGCTTTGTATTGTAAATGAAAACATTGCCATATGTAATTAGTTGAATTAAAAAGATGCAGCAGAATAAATAGTCAATAATTTTTTTATTTTTATTTTAGGTCAGACAATTATTAAATAAGAGTGAAATTCCTCATGTGTCCGACACACCTGGTCAATAAAGCTGATTTTGATTTAATATGCCAAAATGCAAAAAGGAATAAAACAATATATATCTTACTTGTGTTAACTGTTTTAGAATTATGTGTGATCATTGTTTTAAATTGTTAAATTTTTGACCAACTACTTTTGGAAGCAGACACGGACAAAAACACTGCTCACTGAAGTTAATTTAATATTTTGAAGATGCACTGGAAAATGCAGAAAAGCAAGAACTCAGTGCTGTATTTGTATTTGCTGCCAACCAAACACTTCACTAAATTATTCTTTAGTATTAGAGACATTTTAAAATGCCTGTGCTTTGAATCATTTTGTAAGAATAATTCAAATAACTGCAATCCCATTTTGGAGGTAAACCCTAATTCATTTTAAACTTTTGTAGTGATTTTTAGTTTTAATGCAAAGAAAATAAAAACATCGTGGTGCATGTCTGTAAATTGCTATACTCAGATACGTTTAATTTAAATACACTTATTTTAAATTAATAATTTTTAAGACTGCATTTATTTTTTATTTCATTATCAAAATATTGTTTGTTATATTTTCATAGTATAAGGAATTCCCAGCTATTTCAAATTGTATGTAACACGGAGGGAAAGGGCATATGTACAGAAGTTTTTTTTGTTTGTTTGTTTGTTTTTATGGTAATTTCCACAGCAGCAACATGTTGATTTTATTTTCCTCCCTTTTTGCACAGGTTCTCCAGTTTTCCTTCCAGCATGGACAAAGCCCATCCAGGACCCCCTGACTCCACCCAGACCCGCCCACCTCCACTCCTCATCCTCCTCTTTATCCTCCCCCTCTCCATCCTCTTCCTCCTCACCCCTCAAGCCCAACCAGGTTGGCCAAGTCATCCTGTATGGGGTTCCAATTGTATCGCTTGTCATTGATAACAAGGAGAGACTTTGCCTGGCACAGATTTCCAACACACTCCTCAAGAACTACAGTTATAATGAAATTCATAATCGTCGTGTGGCGTTGGGCATTACCTGTGTCCAGTGCACTCCGGTTCAGTTGGAGATCCTCCGTCGGGCCGGTGCCATGCCCATCTCATCCCGCCGCTGTGGCATGATCACCAAGCGTGAAGCCGAGCGCCTGTGCAAGTCCTTCCTGGGAGAAAACACACCACCAAAACTGCCCGACAACTTTGCCTTTGATGTGACACATGAGTGTGCCTGGGGTTGCCGTGGTAACTTCATCCCGGCACGATACAACAGCTCCCGGGCCAAATGCATCAAGTGCTCCTTCTGCAACATGTATTTCTCCCCAAATAAGTTCATTTTCCATTCCCACCGCACACCAGATGCCAAGTACACCCAGCCTGATGCTGCCAACTTCAACTCATGGCGACGACACCTCAAACTCACCGATAAGCGCCCAGCTGATGAGTTAATTTTTGCATGGGAAGACGTCAAAGCTATGTTCAATGGAGGGAGCCGTAAGAGAGCACTGCCCTCCTCAGCCCAGTGTTCCTCCATGGGGCCTATGAAGACTCTCCCAGGTTCGGTGATGCCTCACATGATGGGACCTGACCTGGGTGCTCAGAAACGAGCCCACTTTGAAGACGAGGATGATATAGATGGAGACAGCCTGTCTCCTCGTAAGACACCACGTAGCTACCCTGTCATCCCAGTCCCAAGCAAAGGCTTTGGAATGCTGCAGAAGTTCCCCCCAACTTCACTCTTCCCCTCACCTTACCCATTCCCAGCATTTGGACTCTGTCAGCAGAAAAAAGAGGACAGTGATGTGTCAGCTGGGCAGAAAGGAGCAGGATTGTCGGGTCTCTTATGGCCTGGTCGCAAAGACACTTTTTATCCTCCTTTCTGTATGTTTTGGCCACCAAGAGCAGCAGGAGGAATCCCTGTCCCCACCTACCTGCAGCCTCAGCCCAGCACCCTCTCATCCCTGGCAGACAACCCCTCTCTCAGACAGGCCTTTCTGGATCTCTCAGACCCCAGTGAGTCTGGGGGTGTAGCTGGCAATGGAAATGGTGTCAGTGCAACCATGGCCCCCAGCAGCGGGACCACTACATCTAGAGCTGGGCTGTTTGACACAGACTGCACAATGGTGACCCCTGACATTCGCCCAGTGGCATCAGAAGGCTGGCTCAAACTGCTGGACACGCCGGCCCTTCAAACTAGAAAGCCGACCTATGGCTCAGCCTTCCGTCCCGTCATCAAGGATGCAGAAAGCATTGCCAAACTCCACAGCAATGGTGGAGGAATCACTGGAGCAACAGATGAAGACTTTGGGGTTGTGGTTGCCGGGTCAGACCGCCACCAGCGGCTATCGCCCAGCAGCAGCTGTAGTTATGGAAGTGAAAGTGGAGGCACTGGAGAAGCAGAAGGAGGGGAGACCGAGGAGGAGGGGGAAGTGGACGTGGAGTCATCAAAGCAGGAGGACGATGAGGAGGAAGGTGGTTTCACAGCCAGGCCGTCCCTGACTCAAACTAACCTGTACCTCCCTGTGCTGAGCGACGGTGCCGGAGAGGAGAGGGGCAAGGAGAGAGGGAGTGGCGCTGTGTATCCCAGTACCTCCCCTCCCTCCTCCTCAGACCCCATCCAGCAGGAGTCACCCAGTTTGCCTGCCTCCCCCCCTGCCAGCCTGCCTCTCTCCAGCTCCTCCCCACCTCACCGAGAGGACCCAGCTTACAAAAACGTAAATATCCCCCCAGGCCACTTTAGCTAATTATTATTTAAATGGTGCTGCAGTCAGGCAGTGATGTGATCTGCATAAGCAGATTGATAGGCTAGTTTCTCCCTTTGGAAATTGAAACAGTCACCTCACTGTGATCCCAGCTAATAGGCCCAGGCGTGGACTGTTTAATGGCCATGGTGTGTTTGGTCTGCCTCTGTCATCCCAGCCTGTTAGGGCAACTCTAATCCTTAACCTGTCGACTCCCACATTAACCAGGCCTTTGAGCGAGAGGAGCAGGAGAAAAGAGAACGAATTATGAGGAGTGTTTTAAACTAGAATAAGTTAAAGCGCTCACTGAATAGCATACTGCTGCGTGTCATTGACGCTATTTGCCAAGTAAGGAGTTACATTTGTGATAAGATTTTTTAAAAATTCAAAGAATCAAAATCAAACGGTCATTGCTCTGCTTTATTCTGCTGTGTTGTTCTTGAACTATATAATTCATAACATATATGTGAAATGCTTACAGGATAAATGTGATTTCCAGGTTCACAAACACAGAGAGGAAGGACTACCTGCATATGCAACCAAAGACAACTCCTGCATTTCTGGTAAGCACACATATTTTAACCTATTCGCTTAAAAGCATTTCTGTATCTTTTCCAATGCACATTTCTAAAAGTCTATAATTGCAGATAACACACACTTAATAAAAGGTAAAAGTATCCCAAATATCACAATAGTGTTGCCCACATCAAAAAGTTAATTATCACTATGGCAGTATTTCACTTTTTTCTAACCTTTTCAATCTTTTCTTCAGTATTTGCAAAATCAAAATACAGCTTCTTTTTCATATATAATCTACAAAAATCACTTTGCTTGCTCTACTGTTTGCATGGTTGCTCGACACTATATTTTCCCCCCGTAGTTGTTTTACTATGTCTTGGTTTCATCAAATGTTTGAGCAGGTTTTTACACTCCACTTTCATCAAATAGCATTACACAGTCTATTTCAGTGAACTGTTACACACTATCTGTTTCATCAGACATCTGACTCAGTTGTATTATAGTATCTTTGTTTCATTTATTGTCTGAGTGAGTGGTTTTATAGTGTCTCTGTGTCCCTGCGAGATTCATATTCTTGTGACGTTTCATTTGCTCCTCTCATCTCCTACTCTGACCCTTTTGCTAAAGAAAATGTCTGTGATGTGTTTTGGGATGGTGCGCTCACAAAACACACATGGCCACATGGCCCAGTTATATCTACCCACAAATGAGGCACACGCCATGCGCACACTTGGTTATCTCCATTTGTCTGGATAACCAGCTCAACCAATGGGCCTTACTGAGTCTCCCTTTGTGTCTCTTTCTCTCTCCCGTTCTCATTTTCTCTCAGATGAAAACAAAGAGCAGAATAGTTTCTTTATACCAGAGAGTGAGACGTCAGCGTCGGACTATTGGAGAGAGAGCTCAGGTACAATTACTTTCTCTTTTCTTTTTTTTAATAACTGTGTGCAGAGCAGCTGCAGTCAAATGGAAAACAAATTAATTCATGGACAAAAAAAACAGCGAAATGTAACAATGGTTAGACACTCTCAAAAGTATAATTATAAGGATGACAAGGTTAATTTAATTTCTGCATTTGGTTTCACTCCACGGTGATTTGAATCTTTTATCACAGAGCATACCTGAGGTCTTTATGAGACTAGAGCTCACTGTAAACCGTGATATAACATTTACACTATTATGAGTGGCGGTCTCTAAAAATTTATATGTAGGGCAGGAATACAATTTATTTGCAGTTTGGCTTTTAAAAAAGGGAAAAAAATCAAGATGTTTTCATAAAATTTTATTTCATAATGGCATTAAAACTATAGTTGGCCTTCTGTGTTGTATTTCAGCACACACAGTATGAATGATTGTATGCTGTGTAAAATTTCCATACATAAAGCAAACAGAAAAACTCACTTGGAAAAATATCACTATATACAAAATGCACAGTGACATTTCTTCTTATTACACTAATGAGATTAAGAATACTTGAAGCAGTGAGGAAAGGCTCCTCAGTCTTCAGCTTCATGCACCTCAGTTTCTCCCTCCCTCTCTCAGACAGTGAGCTAAGGGATTCATATAAATACACAGACAGAAGATACAGTAGTGGGAAGCTGCTTCTGCTGCCGCTCTGCTGTGACCGGTCTCTTTAGCAGCATTGTCACCAGGACTGTTACTCTTGGGGGGGTGTTATAGTTCAACAAGAAAACATCAGCTCAAAGATAAGCAGCCGCACTGGCAATCTCCATCCTAAACCCATATCGCCGCCGACATAATTGCCTTTTTTTCCCCCTTCCTCAGCGTAAAAAACCCTTACAGCTTATTGCCTTTTTATATCTGTCAGGAAGACATTAAAAGTGCTTTATGACATCTGTGCCAACATTTATATCTACCACCACCCCCCCACTCCCTCCACCCCTGCACACACACACTGTAATGATCACTGCACATAATGTATAATGTATTTCGAAAAATTACACAAAACAAATTAAATGAGACCACCTTTCCCCTGATTGCCAAATGTCTCCCTGGGCGGTGGGAAGCTCTACGTGATTAGAAGGCCCGATTCCTTCGAGTCCCACAACCCCCTCCACTGTCTTTAAACTCTCCCTCTGTTTCTAGGGAGAAAAAATAATCTAATTTTCCATTTATGTAATGCAAACCGCCTTGGCTTTGACTATTCACGGTTAATTGACTGTCAAACGAGGTTGTTATCCTCGGGCACTGTCTGCAAATTTGCTTGTCAAATGAGACAGAGAGAGGAGAGGAAAGGAGTGAGGAGAGGAGGAGAGAAAGAGGAGAGCTCCCTCCTTGCTCTAAATGAGAGAAAGTAAGGCTTAAGGAGACAGGATATGAAATAACTAGAGGAGAACATACAGACTGAGGGTGCTGGATCACTTGGTTTAAAGCATTCACCGCCTCATTGTCACAATTCAGATTTTAGCTTGAACACATACATGTACGCAAAACAATATAGACACTTTCAAAGTGGTAAATTTTGAAAACAGATGGAGATGTTTATAAAAGGAAAATAAAGAAATGTTAAAGCAACAAGTAGATTTGGCCTCTGGCAGTAACAAAGCTTAAACAAGTAGACAGGCAAAATATCCATAATATGAAATGCTATTTAACTATGTTTCACATGAAGATGCTGTTGTCTGTCCTCATGCAGTTTTCATAGTCATTCTTATGGGTCATAACAATTAGCCTGCCAATCAATATCAGTGTGATGCAGCCTACAAATGCCATTTTTGACCAAAATTTGTGGAATGGCCTTTTAAACATTTACTCTGATTCAATTTAAAAACTACAAAACAGATTTATTTCATTTATGAATGCAAGTAGTGTTTTCCCCCTTTCTTAACAGAAAGCAATATGACCTGAAAGCACAGAGACTGGATACACCTGAGGTTGAATGCTTAAAGATCTCCAGCTACAGCATCCACACATTATCACATACATACATACACTGACACCCAGAGGTCAAAGAGTAAATTACAGTGCTTCACTAAAGAAAGAGGAATAAAGAAAACATGAATGAGTGGAACAGGTTTTATAGTGTCAGTTATCTGACATTAAGTATTGCATACATAAGCTAAAAATCAGAGATTAAGTTTCTCCTTGGTTACAGGTAACCAAAGCCAACGGGCTGCCTCTCCTGTGCCGCTAAAGAAGGATGTTGAGAACATGGAAAAAGGTAAAGATTGTTAATTTGACTAACAGGTTCATTCTCACTCCTCTTGGTTATATTAACTATACAAATCTCTTAGCTCAGTGCCTTTTGCATAATATTGAGCCTAGGAATCATAGCATACACAGCACCATATTGTTGCACCTCCTCTTTCTCCTCCTTGTATTTTCATCTCGCTTCTTGCTCCTACAGAGGAGCTCCAGAAGGTTCTACTGGAGCAGATCGACTTCAGGAGGAGACTGGAGCAAGAGTTTCACGCTTTGAAGGGCACCTCACCATTTCCTGTTTTCCGTAAGTTTTTTTTTCTCACCTTGCTTTTTTTTTTGTCATTCTCCGAAGGGCAACTTCTCCTTCTCTGTCTTTTTAAAGTTCTTTCCAGTTTCTCCTCTGTCTGCCCCCCTTACTTTTCTTTTGCCCTGTTTTATTACACCTCCTTTATCCTTCATCAGCTGTCTTAACTTGATTAGGTAAATGATAATGCTGCTCAGACTAATCATAGATTTTTGCACTAATTTCAGATCATTTTCAGGATCAGATGAAACGAGAGCTCGCCTACAGAGAGGAGATGGTCCAACAGTTACAGATGGTAAGACTACTAATGGCACAATCAGTTCTGAACAATGATAGAAAATAAATATGCCTTAGCACACAAACAAATTATCATTTTGTAGGTACATGAATTAAAAAAGTAAATCACTTTGACAAACTGCCTCAGTAATGATTTTGAGAAGGAACATAATTAAGACTAATTATAAAGCAGCACTTCTCAAGAAAATGTTGTCACACAGTTTGAACAGAAAAGGTTCAAAACAAAACACGGATGAGGAAATGTAACTAATAAGTCACTTAACACTACAACTACAGGAGACTATAGACATAATCATGAAATCCTAAGCTGTGTCTTAAAACTAAAACACAAATTAAATGAAGTGTGCATGAGGACACAACAAGACACTTCTGCCGTTGCTTATTTGTCCATCAAAAGACAGAGTCACTCTTCTAGTTTGTCTTTCATGGGTGAGAAGTTTGAACATTTCCGTCCACATCAATCACTGGAACAGCTGGTAGACAGGCTGACAGCCTGTGTTTGTCTTTGCTTTCTGACATATGCAACAACTGTACATGCTTGTGTGCACATGATCACAAACCCTGCACACACACCAAAACACACACGAGCACACTGTATGCATGTAAGCACAAAGGCAGATAACTGAACAGGCATTCAAACTAATTTATAAGCCTGTGCGCACACACTGATGTGCACGGGCTTAGAAAAAAAAAGCTCTGAATTGACAAATGTGTCTAGCAGATGGATCTGTCTGAGAATAATGACACATTAATTCCTCACAGACATTCAAATGAATTCCAACAAAATTTTACATTTATGTTGCCGCAACATTTAGAATTCTGACTGAATAGCGCACCTACAGTAAACTCTACATGTTTTACCCAGAATTTGATTGTGATGGATGCCTTACTTTTTTCTCTTCTACTTCTGAGACATTTAGTTTTAAAACATATAATAGATAATTTTAAGACTCTGAATACAGAGATACATATTGAAGTTGAGCCATTTTACCTGCTATCTTTTACCAGAACAAACAATCCTTACACTCTCTGGCTGTGACCAATCATTATAAGTTGGGTATGTGTATCTATGTATAGTGACTATTACGTGAAAAGCAATGAGTGTAATCACTGTGCATATAATCCAGGCTATTCCAAACACAAATTATAAATGCATTAAAAAAACAAACTTTTAAAGTGTGTAAACTGTGTCCAAGTAGTCCAAGTGTTGTCTCTTTAGGATTAATCTAATTAATGGCTCTGACTTTTGTTTCTTTCAGATTCC